TTTTTTTTTTGTTATTTATTTCAAATAAATTAAATTTTAAAGAAATTTTAATTTTTAGATACAAAAGCAGATTCTTCTTTTTCTTGTTTATAAGTAAATCTTTTAGATAAATATTCTGTTTGTTCAATATTCCATTTAAATAATTCAATATCTGATTTAAAGAAATGGAAAATATCAAATTCTGATGGAATTAAAGAATTTTTAAACACATCTTCAAGATATTCTCTAAATGAATCTGTAAAACAAAATGATATTATTTGAAAATATTTTTTCATATCAATAATTAATTGATTTACAGCTTCTTTATTTTTCATTCTTAAATCCCAAATTTTTTTAAGTTGTGCATATTCAATTCCAAATACAAAAATTCCACTTATTAAATATGATTCAGGTTTAATAAATGAATTTGTAATAATTTTAAGAAAGTCATTAGTATATCCTTTCATTTCTTCGGGACTTTGTATTTTTAATGGAAAATTATTTAATGTACCAAATAATCCTTCTGCTATTACTTTAACACAAATTAATGTTGGTCCAAGAAATTCTGAACCTATAGTAAATATTGATTTAATTATTTTTACTGAAAGATTTTGTATTTTTTCTTGTTTTTTACAATTAATATTCATTGTTATTTGTGTTGAATTAAATGAATGTGAAATTTCTTCCTTTTTCTCTTCTTTTATTTCTTTTAACTTAGTAAAGAATGGATTTGGAAGTGAAGGTAACATTGTTTTAATTGAATTTGAAACTTCTTTAAGAGAATAAATAGGTTCAATAATAAGATTATTTTCTGTAATTTTTAATTGATTAACAATTGGTTTAAATGGTGAATTTGTTTGATTTTTTGTATTTAATTGTTCAATTGATTTAAATATTTGATTATTTCTTTTAAATAATGGTTTAGTAATAGTACTTTCCATTCCTGGATAAACAATATAAACATTGGTAGTACTAAGTAATTTTTGAATCATATTTTCTGCTTCATTCATTAAAAATCTTTTATGAACCCATATTCTACCAGGATAACTTGTTGATTTTAACCAAAAAACATCAGATAATATTGTTCTCTTTAGTATTGAAGATGCAATAGGAGGATCTCTTCTACATTGCCCATATCCTAAAACATAACATTTATTATATTTTTCAATTGTAATTGTAGGACATTGTGTAATTTTATTTTCATCTATAATTTCTAATGGTTATTTGACTTCTTTTTCCTTTCTTCAACTCTATCATTTTATTAACAAACCTGAACGAACAAGTATTGACCTTCTTTCAGATAATTCTATTGTCCAAGCAATATCTTGATATACAAGAATTTTATGAGTTTGACAGAATGACAAATCAGACATTTTCCTTTTGAAGTTCTTTGAGGTATTTTTGTCTCTAATTAATTCAAAAACAAAGAACTTAAATATAAAAATAATTGTGTTTTAGGAAAAAAAAAGATATTTCAGTGAAAAGTTCATGCAACAAGAAAATACTTATCTTTCTCAATTTCCTGATATTATTAAACAACTTAGACAATTAAGTAATTTGAATAATGCACAAATATTATTTGATTCAAGATTAGAAAATTGGAGAAAAAATGAATCAATTTTTAATGAAAAAATTATTGGACGAAATAATATATTTATTCTTATTCATGATATGGAAGGAAATATCTTTGGAGGATATATTAAAACAAAAATTAATAAAGAGTGTGAGTGGATTAAAGATGAGGAAGCATTTATTTTTTCATTAGAATCCAATGGTAGAATTATGACACCAAAATCTTTTCCTATTAAAAAAGATAAAAGCCAATATGCAATCTTATTATTTTCAAAAGATTTTGATTATCTCTTTCAAATAGGATTTGGATATGATATTGTTGTTACAAAACAAAATCACTCAAATAACTTTTTATCAGGAGTTAATGAAACATCTTTTGAATATGGAAAATTAAAATATCCTTTATGTGGAAGTAAAACATTTATTGTATCAAGAATCATTGCTATTGAAATGAATTGAATTACTTTCTTTCTTATTTACTGTCTTTGTCATGAAAATAATCTCTAATAGATATGAAAAGAACCAACATTCAATTTATTTCAATAATACGTCCTACTTCTGGGAAGAACTTAAATGATGTTTTAGGTGAAACTTCAACATATTCTTTAATTTCAGATACCAATGATCGGAAAGTATCATCCCAATAATTAAAATAAATATTAAATTTAGCGTCTGACCTAATAGACAATTCTACACCTACTAAGAACTCTGAATTTTCAAAATTTTCTCCAATACACATAAGAATCTAAAGTATGTAAGTATTGTATTTAATCTTCCTGAATAAAAAATTAACTTTTATTCCTACTTTAATATTATCTTAGTCTTAGGAAAATTGTAATTAAGATTTGGTTTTAATGAATTTCTTCATTACCAAAAAACCCTATTCTAAAAAACTCTCTTTATTGTATTCTTCTCTTTACAATAGTATTAACTTCAATTCTCCTAAAACTTATAAACGTTTTTTTAAGTATATTTTAACAAACTAAATTTTTCCAAACACATTCCGCTTTTGCTAATGGTACTCCAAATCGTAATTTTCCACCTTTTTCGTATGAAGTGGTATTTGGTGTCACTCCAAATTTCATATAATAACAGTCACTTCCTTTAGGAAAACTTGTTGCCTTTTCAAGTCCATCATATAATCCCCAGAATTGTTCTACAGTAGAAAATGTGTACAACTCTTCCAATGAAGAAAGGTTATCTCGTGATTGTGATTCATATTTATTAGAATCAAACCAATATGTCCATTTATTTAATAAAAGGTGTTGTGATTCAAGAGAGGTTGATGGTGTTGTTGGTTCCATCTTTAAATTATAGTGTGTTTTTTCTTCTTTATTTTTAAGAATTCTTGTTTTCTTCTACTTTTTCTTCCTTCTATTTTTTTTCTTGTCTTTCTTTATTATTTAGGTATTTTTTTTGTTCTTTTTTTCTTACTTCACTCATGAAAAATATGAGGATTAAAAAGATGTTTTTTTTTTAATATTGTAGTCTATTACAATTATCCATTTAATACATCTTATTCTTCATTTTATTGTATTGGAGTAGTACTATTCTATATCTTTATGTATCTTTAATAATGACTTCTTTCTCTTTCAATTGATAATTTTGAATAAAACACTTAAAATCTACAAAACTTCAAAACAAATATGATTAAAGCCAAACCTCTACTCACTAAATATGAACTTGTTATTAAAGGAATTAAAAAGTACTCTAAATGGAATAAACAACGAGAAAATCTTGATGAATGTGTTCAAATATTAATCACATCCACTAACCCAAAAGTTGATATTCTTCAACGTTCTGATAAGTGTATTGAACCATTAATTGTTTTACTTACATTCTCTTCTTCATTAGACTTAACACTATTACAATTACTTCAAATGCTTTCAATGGAAGAATTAATTCCTCTTGTTTGTTATTATTCTTTCAAAATAATAGGAACAAAATAACTTATGATATTAGACTCTTCATGACCATCTCTTTATAAAATTACAACAAATGATTTCAAATGAAACTATAAATGCTAAAATTGTTCAAATCACTTCATCACTTTTAACTACTCCATTACTTGCTTCTCTTCCTATTACTGCATTATATAATGGATTAACTACTTTGTCTTTAGCTGCTACAACACCAATGCTTCTCTCATCTCTTTTCTCTGTTTTATCATATATTTCCACAACAGCATCTGCTCTTTATCCTTCATATATTCCACAATTAGCTAAAACATCAATCAGTCATCAAGAAGCAAATCGTATGATTGATCTTAATAAGAATTATTTAGGACAACCTTTAATTGAACCAACTGAGCCATTAGTATCAACTCTTTCAAAATATATAAGTGATCTTTGTTTATCACCACAATATGCTAACTTAAGAACACACCAATTTGATTGTTTATTTCCAATTCTATCAAATGCACCAAATTTATTTTTCCAAATTAAACCATTATATACTCTTCTTCTTCAAGTATTGATTCCACAACTTCCTGTTATTATTAATTCTACATTACAATATCATTCTACATTTCTAGTATATTTTTCTACATTTCCTGGATATCCATATTTTATTTCATTACATCTGTTTGAATCTACAAATTGTATTTTATCATTATTCTATCAATTTTTCTCAACAAATCAATCATCTTTTGTTTTAAATACTCATTTCTATCCTTTGATTATTTCATTTTTGAAATATGGAGTAACAACAGCACAACCTACTTCAATAGAACATATTTCATCCCCACAAAATCTTCAAGAATTATCATATTTTTGCTTCTTTTTATTAGTATCTCATATGGTTACTGTATCATTTGATTTATCAAATGAAATTATTAAATTAACACTTAATACACTCACAAGATTTGGTAATTCATCTGATTCATTGGTTTGTGTGGAAAAGATGATGAGGGTTATGGTCAATAGAGGTTATTCTATTTGCCAACTATTAGAACTTGCAGGGAAAACTAAAAATGGATGGGGAGCAGTAATTAATGCAATTGAATTAAGTCCTAAATTTAAACATGAAGAATGGAAGTGTATTTGGAAGATGGTTGAACAAGATCATTGGATGACTATTTGTAAATGTACAAAGTATCTTAAAGAAGTACAATTTATTGAATGTGTTAAAGAACTTATTCCAATAATGAATACATTATATTATTATAATGAATTAATTGATATTTATGAAGAAAATATAGATAGAATCAATATTATTCATTCATTATGTAAAAATAATTTAAAAAATGGATTGTTAGAAGATATTTCAATAGCTGAGAGGATTGGAGGAATGATTTTTAGTATATTAGGACAAATAGATAATTATGAAAATAAAGAACAACAACATGAATTAATAACACTTATTTTTATATTTATTAATGAATGTATTGAAGATAAAAAATGTAGAGAGAAACAACTTGATATTATTCTTAATTCTCTTGAAATATTATCTGAAACTACATTACCTCTTTCTGAACATATTGATGAATTAATCCCAATATTTAATATTTTTGCAAATTCATCACAACAAATTGTGTCACATAGTTTCAATATTTTTAAGCAATTTGTATTGTCAATTAATCCAACACAAATTCCAATAAATATTATTTATCAATATATTACTCAAACATCTGATATTAATATGTCATTAAGTGCAATTCAATTATTATCTGATATTATTATTCAATTAAAAGATTCTACTGAATATTTATCTCTCTCTTTAACTATTTTAAAACAATTTTATTTATGTCTAAAAGATAAAAGATATGATATTTGGAGTTCAGCACTACAAACACTTACACAATCTATTGCATGTGAAGGAGAGATGTTAACAAAATGTATTGACCAATTACTTCAAGATATCTTATTTCCAGTGTTTGATGAAATGAAACAGATTTATATTAAACTTACACAATCAGAACTTCCTAAAGAACATACAAAAGTATTACTTTATATGTCTCCTTTAATTAGACAATGGAATGATAATATTTGTATTCTTGTTGGTGGACTAACTAGAATATTAAAATATATTCTTCCATCTGTATCATCAAATTTAAAAGAAGAATTATATAAACAACTTATTGGTGTAACTGATATGGCATTATATAATCCAGGAATGCTTACATGTGAAATGATATTAAAATATAATTATTCACTTCTAACACAATCAGTAAATGAAGGAGGAGAGATATACAAGAATGTATTTACAACTTATATTTCAATTGGTAATTTCATTTCAAAAAATAATGGAGTAAATACAACTATTTCTAAATTCTATTTAACTACTTCAGAGAAGTTACTTCAAGATCATCTTATTGAAGATGTTGTATTTTCTGTTATTCAATATGTTTCTGTATTTCCTGATGATTTCAGTATTGAACCAAATGGATTAAGTACTTGTCAACAATTAGTATTTACTTTGATTGACTATACTCTTTTAAAACATAAGAATTATCAAAGATTATATGTAAGTTGTTTGTGTAAAATGATTGGTTGTTTAATTAGTGAATTTAATGAAAGAGCACAAACATGTGCTTATCATTGCATTACTCAAATTTATAATAGATTAGGAAGTAGTATAAATGAAGAAATTATAAATCAAATAGATATTGAAGAGCTTAAATTAAATATTTTAAAATCCAAATCTACATTATTAGCAATAGCAAGAAGAGATGATAATAATCAATATTATCAAGAAATTATGAATAATATTAATAAGATTATTTATTATATTGGAATGGCTGGAATAGATTGTTATTATGACTTTTATATTAATATGTACACATTCAAGGATTATAAAAACTTAAACAACATAATCTATCAACCATATCAAAGTGCAATTAATTATGCATATGAAATTATAATACATGGAAAACAATTAAAAAATGAGAATAATATTGTTTCTGATTGTTTATTAGACATTCAATATAATGGTTATTATGATAATTTATCTTATTGGAAACAAAAGATAATGCTATCATTAACCCAAATGGAAACTCCAGTTGGGGAATATAGCCAAAATGAACTTGTTAATACAATAATAAAAGAATTAGAAAGAATTAAAACAATAGTAGAGATGAGTGATGAAAGTCTAGAGTATGTTAGAATGGAATGTCTTGATTTTATGAATCTTCTCAAAGAATTAATCAAAACAAATAAAAATCAATTAGATAAAAAGAAAATTTTCATTGCAATGTTGCCATTTATTCCATCAGATAATTCTGATATAAGAAATCATGTTTTAGATATTTTAGACTTATTAACACCTTCAATTGGATTTAAATAACGTTGTAAAACAATTTTGTTAATCAGTTTGGTTTAACCAATTAAACTCTTGTTCATATTTTTCAATATTTCCTTTAAGTGATGTGATGATAGAATCATTTAATGATAGTTCTAATTCTTCAAGTCTATTTAATGCAACAACAGTTATTGTATTGAGAAAATCATTTGTTATTTTTTTCAAGATAAGTTGTTGAAGTATTTTCTTTTTTTTACTCAGTTCATTTCTATAATTTTCAATCATTAATTCAATGTGCTTCATATATTTAATATTTCTTTGTATTCTTGCAATGATGCTTTTTTCTTCTTCTTCCTCATCAGAAGAGATAGAATAAGGCATACTGATAGTACCTCCCTCATGATTTTTTTTTGGTTTCATTTCTTCCTTTTTATGTTTTTGAAGTTTAATATTGTTTATTTGGTTGTCTTTGTGAACAAATTGTGTGATTTTTAGTTTTAAAATATCATTCTTTGTCATTTGTGTTTTGTTGACAATTGGTGTTTCTTTTGGTTCTTGTGATTGATTTAGAAATGGAGGTTTTTCATCGTCAAAACAAAGATTTTGTTTTTGAGAGACTTCAAGAGGTTTATCACGTTTTTGAGTTACATGAGATAGAGAAGATTTTAAAGGAGAAATATTTGATTTGTGTTGTTGAGATTTGATAAGACGAATGATATTCATGAGAGACTTTTCTGAACAAGGTTATAGATGAGAGAATTATTTTATTTTGTAAAGTTTTTGTTTATAAATATAGATTAATTAAGAAAGAGAATCTTAAAAAGAACTAATTATTAATTTATCGTTATTTAAGTCAAGAATGAGTGAGTCAGTAGATGAACGTTTTGGCTATATCATTTCAGATTCATTTGATAATCGTCTTAATGCATACTTAAATGAAACAGAAACAATTACTACAGCACATCAAGCAATTATAGGAACAATATTAGGAACATCATTTGGAAGAGTGTTATTGTTTAATAACAAAACAAATGAAATAGTAAATGAGAAACAATTATTTACAAAAGACGCAGTAATTGGACTTGGATATGATAATGGAATTATTTATGCAGCACAGATGAAAGGACAGATAGTAAGAATTTATAACGAATTTAAATCAATTCAAAGTGAAGAAGAATTAAAGAGTAATGAAAAGATATTAGGATTTTGTATGGACCAACAAGGAAATAGAAATAAGAAATTATTTTGTTATGGAACTCAAATAGGAAATAATCCACCTCTTCTACGTATTATTGATAAAAGTGGATATGGATTATTTGGAGCAAATACAAATTTACTTTGTAGAAATTGTAATAAAATTTTAGATATTAAATGGGTTGGAAATGTTATTTGTTGTATTGGAGGATTTTATGATGGAAAAGAATATAAAGATGCATATATTTATCTATATGATTTTAGTACTAAATCAAAAGAGTTTCAAGAAATATTTACTTTTAATAATATTAAAATTTCTAAAGAGTCATATTGTTGTGTTTTACCATGTAATGATAATAGATTTATTATTTCATGGGGACAATTAAAAGTTAATATTGATGTTTCACCATCAATGATAGTTGAAAGTAAAAAAAGATTTTCACAAAGTATGTTTCAAGTTAATGATAAAAGTATTAGTATTAGATCAATGGCATTAATGGAAAATAGAATTATTGGATTTGTTGATACACAAGAAGGAAAAAGTGGATTAAAAATATTACAATCTTCATCAGGAAATGAACCAAATGCATTGTATCAAATGGATTATCCTAAAGAACAAGTATATTTATTTGGATTTATTAATGAAGTAGAAAAAATAATTTTAATTGGAAAAAGAAGAATAGAAGTTGGAAGAATGAGAAAAGATAGTGATACTATTCAATTATTAATTCAAAAAAAGATGTTTGGAGACATTTTAAATAGAGTATCAACATCAAAAGAAAAATTTACTGATAAAGGAGATATTCAATATTTTTGGAAGAATTATATTCTACAATTAACAGATATTAAAGATGAATCATTAATTAGATTAGAACAACATCTTAAAGAAAATATTATTGACCAATCTGATATTGTTGCTATTATAGGAGAAACTGAAGATGATCAAGAAAAAAATAAATATATTAGATTCTTTACAAAATATTGTGTGAAATATTATCATAAATTAAAAAAAGGATATAATATATTACTTTCTGCTAAAACAACTATTATTCCTAGTTTAACAACTCAAATTATAACTGAAGATCTTGCTAATTCATTTAAATTAAAAGAAGATATTGAAGATTATAAAAGTGGAAGTAATGTTACATTAAATGAATATACATCTATTATTAATAATGAACTTGATTTATATAATGAAATTCTTTTATTCCCTGGATTACCTGCTTCAATTCAAAATGAAATAGGAAATGCTACAACATCAGCACAAGAACTTATTAATGATACAAATATTGCAGATTTTCAAGGATTTGTTATTCAATTTAAATTTAATAATGGATTATATCTTCCTGCATGTGAATATGCATTAAAAACACAAAATCCTCAAACATTATTATTTATATTAACATTAATAGAAAAACAACCTAAAGATAAAATTAAAGAAATAGTAGAAATGTTTGGAAATGATTTTGATTCAGTTAAAATGTGTATGCCTCAACAAGATACATTAAATAATTATATTATAGAATTTCAAATTTATCAAAAACTCTTTAAATTGTTTAATAAAGCAATGAATAATACTATTAAAACAGCTTTATTTGAATCAATTTCACATCAAATAGAAGAAAATAAAAAAGGACCACAATTACTTTATGCATCTGTAAGTGGAAGAATTGGAGATATGGGTCAATTTGCAATTGATTTTATTAAAGAAATTCTTAATAAATATATTGAAGAAAATGGAAATGAATTAAACTTTTATCAATATGATGCTGGTGTTGAAATTATTCAAAATGTCGTTGATGTCATTGATAAGAAAAATAGTCCTGAATTAGCAAGAAAAGTTTTTGAAGAAATTATTAAAACACCAGTAGTAGGTGATGTTGTTATTCCTATTATGTTAAAACGTTCTCAATTTAAAGTTCAATTATTTGATGAAATCCCTGATACTCTTAAAATTGGTGATATATCTGAATCAGTTCGTGATATGTTATGCTCTTTAAAATTTACTAATCACACTTTGTCTGAAATTCTTAAAATTGCTAAAGAAGAGTCAAAGAAAAAAATGTCTAAAGCAAGTAATAAAACAGGTGTTACTTTTAATATGACAACTCTTTGTTCAAAGTGTCAAAAGCCATTGACTGGACCTGTTAAAATGTTTTATTGTGGTCATATTTATCATGACTCTTGTCACAGAGAAAATACTTGTGTACTTTGTTCAATGAAATAACACAATTTAACATCTATTTCTTTGTCATTCATTCTTCTTTTTATTTTTTTTT